CAGAGGGAGGGTATCCTAGCCTGAAAGCTGTGGTCATATTAAGCTTAGCTGTTAATCCTTTCCACTATTTCCAAGAACAACAACAACAACAACAACAACAACAACAAAAATCTTAATAAAGAAATTTAGTTGGTCTTGACAGCCAGTCAGAAGGAGTCTGAGGATGCCCCAGAGAAGTCCTTTAGGCAAGTAGTAGAGTCTCTGAGACCCTTGTTTATGAAGAACTTGTGAAATAAAACCTCCCAAGCTGATAATATCAGAATTCAGAATGTGTTCTCTTTGAGGATGAGTGTTTCACTGATGGTGATACTACTTTTTTACAAGCTAAGGTTCTAGCCAGAACATGCCTTTCCAGTGCAGAGTACCATACTTGCTTATTCACTGACATGTTCTCTTGTTTGTTTGTTTACTTGTTCATTCATGAATTCGTTCATGCATTTATTCATTCATGAAATATAGTGAGGTAATCTCTACTTGGAAGGAAGTAATTGGAGAAAAGCTCTGAATAATAAGTTGCATCAAAAATATTGAACTTTTTTTCTAAATTAAAATTCCTTAGTTGATTTAATTTCTAAACTCTAAAAAGAAACCATAAAAATATTAGAAAATTATAGATGTTTGTTTAATCATTCTAAATAAAGTATTTCATTCTGGTACCTCCCCAATTATTCCTCAAAATAATAATTGGTATGAACAAGTTGGTATGCTGTATATCATAAAATAAAATTTAAAGACAGAAGAATGAACATTCTTGTTTTTGCCAAAAGTATCTAAAATTCAATAGGTTTAATATAAAATCTTATACAAATACATAGTAAAAGAACAGGAACTAAGAATAAGTAAAAAATATGATAGGTGACTCACAAAAGGAGAAATGTAAATGACCAATACATAAATGAACAAAAATTGTTAATTTTCATTAAAGAAACATAAATTTAAAAGTTGGTAACATACTAACTTTTACTGATTTATCAAACTTCCAAAGGTTTTGCATACAGCCATATTTAAAGTGGAGGTACTATAAAGGCCTAGCCCTTGAGAGAGCCATTTGGCAATATACATCAAAGCTTTCTGTTGTATGTACCTTTCATATAGCATTTACATTCAAGAAACCTATTCTGAGGAAATGGTAAAGTTGTGCACAGTTTTAATTCATAGATCTTCATTAGGGTTTGCTTTATCATAATGAAAAATCAATGAAAATAAAACAGTACTCATCAATCAACTTCAACTACCCTCCACTATCTACACCCACCTTCTGTTTAAAGCTGACCTGTTCTTCAGGGCAGCCTAATTGTGTTTTCTCAAACAGATGTTTGCATCTGGCGCAGGGCTCCTTATCACCTTCACATCTCAGTTCCTTTAGCTGTTTCTGTCCAATCTAGTCACTTTTGATATTTAGTCATGTATGACTTTTGTGATAACTTGAACATTTATAATCTGTCTTCAAATTGGTTTCTGTCCCTTACCAGTATTAATGGAGCATGTGTTTACTGATCAGCCTCCTTGAAGGATATTGTTAATTTCTGGGGCCACTTTAGCCCACACTATATTTGCACTCAGAGTTAGATAGGCCCTTTGTTGAGTAATTGAATGAGGGAAGGTATGGGGAATTACTGACTGGTTGACTGGGATCCTGAAAAAGGAGTCCAGAGTTGCCACTTAAAGTTCCCAGGAAGACTTCTCTGCAGACAATACAATGAGTCAGGTCCCTCTGCACAGATTGTCAGAGCATCTACAGTCTCTCCTCTCTCATCCAACTGCTGCCTTAGTTACTTCTTCAAATACAGGTCCAGGCTCTCTCTCTTCTCCTATCTCAGACATGGCCAGAGGCCACAAATACCCATTGCCTGAAAATAAACATTCTGCTTTGTGGTGTGGAAGGTCTTCTGCCTCAGAGCATAGGCCTACTTTCCCAGGCTCTTTCTCCCAGGTTTCTGGTCTGACCTTCTTCAGTACTTATTATTTCCCAGTCACACTATAACAAGATTTTCTTGATTAGTATATGTTTATGTATATGGATATTTGTATAAATTATTCATACACATACACAAACATATACATGGTTACCTACAATTGAAATTCAAATTTAAAAAGGGGACACATGATCACTGTAGAGACAGAACATAAAACGTCAGTGAAACATTTGACTTTCTCTGTCCAGCTTATCTTATTTAGCAAAATGTCCTAAGCTCCATCCATCTTACTGGAAATGGCAGGATTTCCTTTTTCTCATGCACAATTAATATTATTTATAATACTATACATACACAATATTTTCTATATAATCTCACATCTTTATCCACTCATCTGTTGGTGATTACTTGGGACCTGTCCATATTGTGGCTATTGTGAATAATGCTGCAATTAACATGGAGTGCATGTACGCATATCTCTTTGAGATCTTGGATTGCTGAGATTATATGGTACTTCTATTCTAAATTTTTTTAGGAACTTTCACACTTTTTTCCATAATGGTTGCAGCAGTTGACATTTCTGCTAACAATGCACAAAGGTTCCTGTTTCTCCACATTCTTACCAACACTTGTTATTTCCTGTCTTTTTGATGATAGCCACTCTGACAGATGTGAGGTGATACTGCATGGTGTCACTTATATGTGGAATCTCAAAAAAAAAAAGAAAGGAAAAAGGCAAACTGATAGAAACTGAAAGTAGAAAGTGGATGCCAGGGGCTGGGGGAGTGTAAGTAATATGGAGAGGTTGGTAAAAGCGTACAAACTTTCAGCTATAAGATAAATAAGGTCTGAGGATCTAATGTAAAGCATAGTGACAATGGTTAATAACACTGTTATGTAAATGAAATTTTCTAAAAGAGCAGAACTTTAAAGTTCTCATCAAAAAAAGTGAGGTGATGTATTTATAAATTAGCTAATTGGAGGGAATCCTTTCACAATGTACAAGGGTGGGCAAAAGTAGGTTTACAGTTGTAAGTGTGCAAAACAATTTATTCTTGTATTATTATTTGTTAATGTTTTTTTCCATATGAACAACTATAAACCCACTTCTGCCCACCCTGTATATATAAGTCAAGTCACCATGATGCACATTCTAAATATCTTACAATTTTGTCAATTGTACCTCAGTAAACTTCAGGGGGGAAAAGGTGAAGGGAATCCAAATAAACTAGTCTTAGAAATTTTATTTTTCAAGAAGATTGAGTGGAACATGGAGAAAAATTTGTATTGTATTTTTTACCTTTTCCATTTATCTGCCCATACCTTCTCCCACCAGAAATTTAGGTACAGGTTAGGCCATTGAATAAGCAAGTCTTATCGGTTGGATAGATTTAGCACTCAACTATTTTTTTTTACCTCTGAATCTCTAAATTAGACTTCTAGCTTTTATTTTGTTAAAATTATAAACCACTTAATTCATGGGAAAACACATAAAAATGATATTCATGCTTAAGCAAAGTTTCTCAACAAATATTTCATGCTTTTCTATTCATTTTCCTCCTTTTGGGTCCAAATGCTGGTTCTCCATTTATTAACTACATAATCTTGGACAATTAGCCCTCTCTCTGTGCCTCAGTTTTCCTGGATAAAAAGTGGGGACCACTACCCTAAAGGGAATTAAGTGAGGGAATATATAAAAATGCTGAGAGAGCTGCTCTCTCTAAGAGCTTTGATGGAATATTGGTCCACCTCTGCTTGGTGAAATCCTACAGACCACAGTGTAAAAATACAAGAAGCCCCTTTCTCTATCATCTCATCTCATTATGTATATGAGAAGGGTACATATTGTGTACTGCACATTCTTATTCCCCAATAAGTATTCTTATCATTAACTTCGTGAATATATGTTTATTCCATATATTAGGCCTATCTAATGTTTCTCGTATCTAAGTCCTTACTTGCTCTTGATCGAGATTTGGAATCTAATTAAACAATTATGATTCTGGGGTTATTTTTGAGATTGTCATTGAAACAGAAACATGAATTAAATCAAAGTGTAACTTACTCACCTGGATGCAGAAGGATTGAATTAGTACAGTCCAAAGAGCTCTCATTTAGAGCAGAGGGAGCTTGTAATGGGGCTTCTGGGCTATATCCACTGGGGTGACTTAGTGTACTTACTTTAGGGAGCTAAGTAGCTCAAGAGACTTTGCTTATGTCAATGTTTGAGATATTTGTGAATGGACAGCTTGTATATTTATTTGTTCAATGAAAGCCTGCTGTCACTTTAGCTGAAGAATTGTAATTAATTTGTTGGTCTTTTATTTTCTTCTGTCACACAAATTTCAGAATAGAAATATATGATATCAAAACTAGACCATTTATATTTTGTAAAAATTAAAAAAATAAATTCCTATTTCTCAAAGCCTTTGTAAGATACATATCTGAAATACAAATAAATTCTTAGGGTAGTGGTTCCAAATGTGTTAATTTCTGAACCAGGAGCACCTAGAGCTGGTTAGAAATGCAAATTTGGTCCCTATCTCAGATCTACTGACTCAGAAACAAACATCCAGGTGATTCTGAAGCACACTCAAGTACCACAGACTTAGGGTAATAACTACATTTCAGGAGAGGTGCTGTATGTGAAACGATATTATCTTTGTGATTTATTTTTAAAATTTTATGTATTTATTTTTAGAGAGAGGGGAAGGAGAGAGAAAGAGAGAGAGAAACATCAATGTGTGAAAGAAACATAGATCAGTTGCCTCTCTCATGCACTGCAACCAGGTACCAGGCCCCAACCCTGGCATGTACCCTAACCAGGAATCTAACTGGTGACCTTTTGCTTTGCGGAACAATGCTCAGACATACAACCAACTGATCTATGTGGGGTACAGAGCTTTTTGTTTATATTTTTGATTAGGAAAGGTCAGCATACTTTGGGTTAAGTATTTTATTTAACCCAATGTTATTCAATATTATATAAAGAAAACCTCTTTTTAATATATTTAATTGCTATTAAAATACAGTTTTGCTCACTGGTCTTTCCCTTCTGTTCTTCTTTGCATCTCCACATGGTAGACGAATTGGATTTTATGTCAATACTTTTAAAAATGTCTCTAGCCTTGAGGCCAAGTTTCATAAGGAAATTGCAGTGGTGAGTAATGATTATTTTTACTTATGGAATATAAAGTAAATGAACATTTATTCTGGAAGCAAATGAAGTGGCATAGCATGATGCAAAGAATATGCTCACTTGCATGTTGTTTTTAATAGTGTGTTATTACTCTCAGTAGTATTTCTACAGGTTTGTTGTGATCACATAGTTCTCTATGTCTTACAAAGATTTTAGTTTGTGGGTGTACAAAAGTGCTCTCGTGAATCACTGGCTGCTTTTATTTCTTCTCTGAAATAATTTTTTTCATTGTCACAGTTTTGTTTTTTCTCAGTCAGTTTTTAATGTTGGAATCTCAAGTGATACTTTAAGCTACAAAAAAATTTGCCTCCAAATATTCAGATAATCTGCAGCTGTGCCCTCAGCTGGTGTTTTCTTAGTTTAGCAGGTGCTTGTATGACTTCATCTCTGGTAAAGTCAATGTAAACAATTATTTTCTGGTTTTTTTTTCTTTGTACTCTGGTTAATTAATATATTTTAATTTTTTAAGTTTATTTGTAGCCTTTAAGTTTTGACATGAATGCTACCTTTTCAATAAACAGTCCATTTTGGGGGCACAGTAGCCTGAGTAGGCATCAGAATGAATTGCAGCTAATAGACAAGTGGCCTCTGTCTCCTTAGCTTTGCCACAAACTGTATGAAGTAATGACAAAACTGGGTGACCAGCACGCTGACAAGGCCTTCACCATTCAAGGCGCTCCCAGGTAGGCCAAGTTCATCAGAGCCAAGTCCATGTTCATTCATTTAAATGCATTGCTTGTTGCAAGTTCTGCAGCCTGTACCAACCTATACTATTTTATTCATCCTATAAAAGTAAAAAATACAGGAGCCTTTCCATGTGGAGGCAGATACCAGCCTTAGTTCTATGCTTTCACATTTACCTTCACCCTTCAGATTTACCTCCCACAACCTTTTTTCATTGTCATGATAGAACTGACTATCTGCTTCTCTGCTTTCCATGGAACCTAAGAGCAATGGTATAAATTTTTAACATATAATTTCTAGTTATGCACTTATTACTTTTCTTGAAGAAGGAAGGAATTCCTTGAACTCAAACTATTACCCTGATATTTATCACTGGTGATGACATACTTAAAGAATCCATTTTGGGAAAGGAGAGAAGAAGTTGGTAACACCTCACCACCACCTTACCTCCTCCTAACTCCATCTTGCACACACTGCATTGTTTTTTTTTCTTTTATTGCACATGGTTATTTTGAGTATGCCTTCAAATACACTAAAGATCCATTGATCCATAGGTGAAATGTCTACATTGTCGGGGTTGTTTGGCTTTACACCATCTTTCTCCCATGATTTTGGAATTCCTCTTTTTCCATCCTTCTCAGATATTATGCACTCAAAGAATGCAGGCAAGTGGACCTTGTGCTGGAAGTCCAAAGACCCAGCTTTCAGTTTTATGGCTCTACATGTGGTTAACATGTGTTGACTTTCTTAAGTCCAAGAGCATCTCTAGTTAAAGATCTCATTTTTTTTTTTAGTAGTAGGGGGAAATAGATGCTATTGGACTAAATAGCTTTAAAATAATAGCAGAGTTGGGGGTGGAGGGATCAAGAAAAAGGAGAAAAGACTCATGGACATGGACTACTGTATGGTGATTGCAGTGGGGAAAGGGGTGGGTAGAGGTGGAAGAGGGTATAAGGGAGATAAATGATAATGGAAAAATATAATAAAAATAAACAAAAAATAAAGTAATAAGCAGTTGTAACATTCTATATATGCAATTTTAACATCAATATATATACTCATACATACTTATAAATATATGCATACTCCTACACATACACCACTATCTCTATGTGTCAGTGTTTGAATCTCTCTGGAGGTAGCTAATATTCTTATTTGTTGCTCCTTGGACTAGCTGTATTCATAGTCTCTGCTATGGCTGCTGTACTAAGTGAGCATAAAGTATGTCTCTCCTTCTAAGGGAAAGAATATGACTAGAAGAATACATGAAAGGGGCAGGGACACACTGTTTCTAATGCACCTAGGAACGCAGTAAGAACTGTAATATCAAAATGATTTTTAGGTTTCTAAGAAATAAAATACATAAAAAATAAGGGTTCCTCCATTACGGAGAGATGAAAGGGATAAAGGCATCTGAAAATTTCAAAGTTGCTAAATCAGATAAAATGGAGAAGTGGGGCCACAGTGATTTAACAAATGTTCCTTTCATTTTTTTCAACATTTCTGTGCAGAATGAGGCAGTGAGTGAACAAGCTCAGTAGCATCTATTTCTATTAAGCATAGATTGGGGTTGTGCTTCCTGATAGAGGCATGATTGGGGCACATAGCCCCAATCATGTGGTATGTCTGTGTTCTCTCTGTAAGATCCATTCCCTTGTAGGCCATGCTGCTGTGTACATATTTATTTTGGGATGCAGATCCTGTTCCCTTAATCTGTAGACTTTTGAAATTCTTAGAGAGCAGAATCTGTCCCCAGTGCCTTCTTAGTCATTAACTTCAGGCTGTTCACAAGCACCTGGCCTGATACCAGGTATGTGGTGGGTTGTGAGTAAATATTTCTGATTCTGTTACATTACATAATTTGTTTGCACATTTCAAGGTGCCCGAGTTGAGCCATTGTTCTTAAAGGTGTAGAAGTAGAAAGGGTTAATGAATTAATTTCCAAATGTTACCAGAAAACACTCCTACAAAATCTTAAAAGTAACACTAGCCTAAGGATGCCGTTTAACATAAAGTTTTTCATTTTTGAAGTAGCTTTTGCTATAGATTATGACATAGCAACATTACCTTGTAAGTCAATAGTGAAATTAGTACAGTTAATTCAGTTTATGTTTGCAAGATTCTTGCAAAACCTACTTGGCACAGTGGAAAGAATAAGGGTCACATTAGTAAGGCCTGAATTCAGATCCAGTTAATTACCCAGTGATTTTAGGCATTTTTAACTCTCTGCATAGGTATTGTGGTGATTAGAGATAATCTATAAGCAGGGTCTGGCATACGGTGTTAATAACCATAATTAACCCAGAAGAAGGGCTGGATAACAAATAATACCTGTTATGACTCAGAATTTCTCTGGGATGGAGGATTCCTAATAAATAAATACTGCTCCTTAGAAGACCCCTTGCTTACATCTTGTGTGTTCATCCAGTGATTCAGGTCCTCTCCGCATCACAAAGACACCATCACCGCCTGAAGAGCCCTCACCCATCCCAAGCCCAACAGCTAGTCCCAATCATACACTGGTGCCTTCGTCTCCTGCACCAGCACGGCCTCGGTCACCTTCACAGGTAGGAAGAGATCAAATATATTAGGATGACTGGAAAAGCTCATGGTGGGATGACCCCATCAGGTATTGTCCTGTGGGGCAGAGGAATTGAGAGGAGTTTACTTCTGGTTGAGGAGACTTTGAAGTATGAAGTTTTAGGCATTATAGTTGTCACTAAGGAATCAACTTATTTTCCTTATTTGGACCTTTTATTTTCTTGCACACCCTATACTTGAGTGTGTTTACCTCAGCTTTCTCAGGCTTGCCTACTCTCCTCTTCCATCTTTTGCTCACAGAATCCTTTCCATAAAGGTTCCCATTAATCCTACCGTCTTCATGAAACCTCTCTCCTGTAGTGCTTTATTAAGGATCATGGCAAGTACAGCCACAAAAAGCTGTTATGTGAATATGCCACTTCATACTTTTTGTATCATCCACCATATATTGTACATGAACAGACATGCAACAAAAGTGCAAGAAACAAATGATGGAAAAAAATAGTAAGGGCCAGGAAAAGGTAAATATAGAGAAAAATTGCCACCCATTCTTTCCTACCTTCGGTGAACATGAAATTTCTATAAGAAAACTTGAAGTGTCCAGTACAGTTTAAGCTTTCATGTGTTCAGCTAAAACTAAGGAAGGAAATTCATAGGAAGATACATGTAGCAAATGTATGCTGCCTGTAGGTAGTCTCACTGATTCCAATAAAAAACTTGCTTGATTTTAATTTTAAAATTTTAACTCATTGCTGAAGTGAGAAATCATTTTCAGTTTGCTTCAGAGAAGGTAGTGCCTTAGTTTAACATTAGAGGCACAGGCATCTGGCCATGCAGCCCTGAGTGTAGCTCTTGGGGTTGTGATGGATGGAGCCTTAGAGCCTGAGTTTTTCTTATTGGACCAGTGCCTGTCTATGCTCACAGAGCCACTCAAGCAGATGGCATTCTGTACTATTAGGTGGGCTTGTTTCTATATGTAGATCTGAATTTCAGTCAGTAATCTATCTGTCCTTCCACCTCTGTTCACATGAGATTTTTGCATGTCTTGCACATCATCTTTGGCTGAATTAACTACTGCTTGTGTTTAATGCTTTGTAGACAAGGAAAGGGCCTCCTATACCACCTCTGCCTAAAGTCACCCCGACAAAGGAACTGCAGCAGGAGAACATCATCAGTTTCTTTGAGGACAACTTTGTCCCAGAAATCAGTGTGACAATACCTTCCCAGGTGAGTGCCTAGTACAGCGGTGGGATGTCTATAAAGTACATGGCGAAGGGACTCTCAGGGCTCAACTCTAAAGAGAGAAGATGCTAGAGCTAACAATATGATTTCAGTTGCTATTCAGATTTGCTTGGTATGTCTAAAGCATTTTCAAATGGGAGATGTACATTTTGAAAATATTCATATTATTTTTGACTATTAAGATCAATAAGTAGCACATACTTATTGCAGAAAATGGGAAAGTACTAAAAGGCATAAAAGGAATAATTTTAGTAATTACTTAAATCATACCACTCTGACTTAGCCACAAATATGCTCTGGTTTATTTATTTATTTATTTGGTCTTTTTATTTCCTGGTTTTATATTGATTTTGCTCTACAAAATTCAAATTGTATTGTTATGTACTCCTGACTTTTTTATTTAATTGCATGAGCATTCTTTCATGTCATAATATTATCTTTTCAAAAATAATGTTTAACTGGAGTATTCTGTCAGGTGGATGTAGCAACCCCTGACTGTGTTCACAGGTTGCTTCCAATTTTTCAATGATTTCACTAGTGCTTTGGTTAATGTCAGTATAAATGAATTCATGTTTGTGCCTTCTACTACTTGTTTTATATTACTTCCTAGTAAAGAATAGGAAAATGAAATTAAAGAGGTGAATATTTTTAAGTCTTTTGCCATACCTCAGGTAGAAATGTATCCTTGCACATGATTTGGCAAATGGAAATGTTGATGTTCCCTTGCTTTCAAAGACAACTGGATGCAGGTGTTCCACTTTTAGTTACCCTCAGTGGACTGTAGCCCTATCCCTGTGAGCAGCTTGGTTGTCTTGAGAATAGTCTTGACTTTCAGGGCTGTTCCTAATGTCATTAAAGCCAACTCTTTAAGAGTGAAAGTCCCCAGTCATGCCAATATAATATCTCCCAGTGTTGTCAGGATCAGAAATAATATTTACATTTTGTAAGTGATGTGAGCACCACTTTTTAATTACTGAACACATCAATAACAACACTGTGTATGACATCGCAATTACAATCACACTCTGTTGGCAATAATAGAAGTAATGTACTGATATCAGGGGGTTCAGAAAATAAAAACTCAGAAGCAGTACAGTGTCAAATCATAATTTTTCATCCCCTTAAAGGCCATTTATCAACAGACACTGCGTTTAGCTAATAGTTTTCCTTCTGTTGTTTCTATGAGATGTTCAATATGATAAGATAAGTAGGGCTTGAAATGAGATTTAGCAACTCCTTTGAGGAAAGGGAATTGTGTGTTTATTAGTGCATGGACAAATTATGCCTGTGGCTACACAGATGCTTCTGGGAATAGCTTGAACCAAATGATCTTACTCAGCATCCACCTGACACCAAACTTGAGGAGTTTTCATTTCTAAGTTGTGCTATCTGTTTGCATTTGCTAACAGCTCAGCTTCATTTTTTTTTTCTATATCACTCTTCGGTTCAGAGTGTTTCAGGTGATAGTATCCTTACTATCAATTCCCTTTCACCTGGACCCTCTAAGAACATCCTCTGAATTCCATCACAAATAGAGCATGTGGGTCACCTAAAAACCATGTGTGCTTGTTGAGGACCTATCCATTTAGCAGTTAAGGCAATTGAAGTAGAGAAAATGTGACACATAGACTAGTTCTGAAATAAAGATGGGGTTCAAGAGTGTTCTTTCTTTTAAAATGTATTTTTATTTGCACTTTGCTAGTTTTAGATAAGGGTCCTTCATGGTGAGGGAAAAAAAAGAGTTGAAGCACTTTTAAAAATTACAAATGCCAGGAGAGGCCTCCAAGTACTTCTGAAAGCATTGACTTTTGCTTATATTGTTGAGTGAATATGATGGGAAAAGTCAAGGGTAGGAGGAGAGGGAGAGGAAGCACATTTCAAAACAGAACCATCTCTAGCTGCTGCTTCTGTGATGAGACAGCTGGTAGAATGCTGGCCCCGCCTGGCTGGCAGGGTCCATGTGTTGTGGCTGCGACAAACAAATTCACATGGCCTACAGAAGTCCTATGGAGAGAAAGGGATGGCAATACCACTCTCTCAGTGAGAGAGAGGAAGAGCACTGACCCCTGCCTGGACAGGCTTTTACTGCTTTTCTGGGCACATTACATTGAGGATTGTCCTCATTTACTATGCATAGGTTCACTTTAGGTGGTTACATTTTATAGAAAACAAAGGAGAATATGTTGCTAATTACATCAAAGAAGAAGGATATTTGCAAGTGCAAAGGAAAAAGTGGTTAAACTGATTACACTCCTACCTGAGGTTTAGCATAGATTTTAGGAAGTTACTTTAAAGATATGAAGTAAACGTTTGATGCCTCAATTCAGGGTGAGGGAGTTTTAGCAAAAGCAAGCCTCATAGCAGCCTAGGTACAATACAGGCCTGATTCCCCATGGGAAAAACTATCCATGGGCATGGGTCCTGTGTGCCAGACCTCACGCCCCACTGGCCTTTTCAAGTGGGGGCTGGGCTACATTTCCTACTGCCACACAGAACAGTCCCCTATACTATGTGTCACGCCCATCAGTCCACCAGGCAATTTTGCAAGAACTACCTACCAGCAACATTCTGGGGGTGCATTCTGGGGGTTCATTTTCATTTATATAGTATTCTCTTAATATGGGGAGGAGGCAGAAAGGAGTTTCTGTCATTTTTTTTCCAAACCTGGAAAGCAACATGGCTCTAGGAGGTGGATCACAGTATATGACTTGAAGCATTTCCATTGACTAAATGGCTGTTAGTTTCATGTCATGATATCAAGAGAGGGAGTGAAACAAAAATTTACATTTCAGTATACTTTTTAGCTTCTGGACTGATACAGTTTAGCTTTATTTTAAAATTTACAGATGCTGCCTTTTTGTGAAGCATCTTAACCAAGTCCCTTAGTTGCTTATACCTCTGTAGATATAGCCATCGTGTGTTATTACTTCAGCCCTTTTGGGTCTCATCTAGCAGCTTCTGATTCAGCAGATCTTGGTTGGGGACCAAGAATCTGATTTTCTAACAAGTTCTCAGGTGATGCTGATGTTGCTGGTCTTGAGATCACATTGAAAACACTGACTATTTTACAACATCAGAATTCCACATGATACAAATATGTGGCTATGAACAAAGTACCACATCAAATTAACAGATTTCTTCCTGAGAAATAATCAGCTGAGTTTAGTGTATGTCATGACTGACCACATATAATTACTACACTTAATGTCTTTAAATGTTATATATTTAGGGCTGTTGGGCTTATACACCTGTATATGTATGATTATGATATTAGATATGTTTACCAGATTATATGTCAAGCTACATATTATAAGTGAAAGGATTGTCTCAAATAGATGATAATATTTTTAGATATGCACAGATAACTGATTAAAAAATAAATAGAAATTTCAGGAGAAAATGGATGCCAGCTGCCAAGGAGCAGAGTATTGAAAGCTAGGGAGCTGAGATATACTTCCAGGTACATATATTATAATAATATAGAGTGATCTATTTGCATTTATTTAATATTTTAAAAATGTTTGAGTAATTCTCCATTTAATAGATAAATTTTGTGTATTTTCTATTTTTTCCCTGTGCTTTATAGAGAAGGAAGGCATTTGTATTCATCCCACCTAGAAACTCAAAACATAATGATTAGAATTTCTTACTTCTGATTGATTTACCTGTGTCATCACAGTGATAATTCTCTCTTGAATGTGTTCTAGGATTGGAAACAGAAATATATCAGACCAGAAAGCCCTCAAATGGCCCCAGACCTTAAATATATCACAGAATCTGCTCTGGGAAATATCCTTAGCTGCTTACAGGGAGATGCCCCAATGTCAAGACCTAAGGGCTGATCTTGCTCTTCTGGTTCTGTGTTTTACAAACATGGGTCTGCCAAAGTCCAAACTCATCTGTCCCTATTTTTCTACCTTGAGAAGTTAAATGGAAAGAAATTCTGTGTGTATATATGTATCTGTGTTCCTGCATTATTCTTTTATTTTTTTATTCTTAACCTCCGCCTATTTTCTACGTACCATTTATGCTTCTTATTTCTTGTATCTTTTCCCTCTTTCCCCGCCTCCCCCACTAATAAACCTCCATGTGATCTCCATTTCTGTGATTCTGTTCCTGCTCTAGTTGTTTGATTAGTTTGTTTTTTGTTGTGTTTGGTTGTTGATAGTTGTGAGTTTGTTGTCATTTTATTATTCATAGTTTTGATCTTCATCTTTTTCTTAGGTAAGTTCCTTTAACATTTCATATAATAAAGTCTTGGTGATGATGAACTCCTTTAACTTGACCTTATCTGGGAAGCACTTTATTTACTCTTCCATTGTAAATGATAGCTTTGCTTGATAGAGTAATCTTGGATGTAGGTCCTTGCCTTTCATGACTTTGATAACTTCTCTCCAGCCCCTTCTTGCCTGTAAGGTTGCTTTTAAGAAATCAGCTGATAATCTCATAGGAACTCCTTTGTAGGTAACTGTCTCCTTTTCTCTTGCTGCTTTTAAGATTCTCTCCTTATCTTTAATCTTGGGTAATGAAATGATGATGTGCCTTGGCATGTTCCTCCTTGGGTCCAACTTCTTTGGGACTCTCTGAGCTTCCTGGACTCCCTGGAAGTCTATGTCCTTTGCCATATCAAGGAAGTTCTCTTTCATTATGTTTTCAAATAAGTTTTCAGTTTCTTGCTCTTCCTCTTTTCCTTCTGGCACCCCTATGATTCAGATGTTGGAATACTTAAAGTTGTCTTGGAGGTTCCTAAGCCTCTCCTCATTTTTTTTTTGAATTCTTGTTTCTTCATTCTGTTCTAGTTGAATGTTTATTTCTTCCTTCTGGTCCAAACATTTGATTTGTATCCTGGTTTCCTTCCCTTCACTGTTGGTTCCCTGTACATTTTCCTTTATTTCACTGTGTCACTTTTTATAGCCTTTACTTTTCCTCTGTTTTGTGACCATACTCAATCAATTCTGTGAGCATCCTGATTACCAGTGTTTTGA